GCCCGAACGACTCAAACCACGACGAAGAGCCCGAACGACTCACACCAGGAAGAAGGGCCCGAACGACTCACACCAAGACGAGAGGCCCGGAGATATGCGGGGGCAGGCGGAAACACGTCTGAAAAACACGACTGTCGGCATGCTTCGCAAGAGTTGCTGTTTTGAGATGGGCTGGTGGGGATACGCGAAGCGTGAAGAATTTATTTTCCCCCGGACACGGTCCCCCGCTATTTGAATGTATGAACATACATACATATAAACTGTGCATATTTATACATATATATATATATATATAGAAATACAAATATGTGTGTATAAATAAATATCGGAGGTGAGGGGGTGAGATCGACAAGGAACGGAGAGCCCCCCTACCGGGAAATCGGTTTCGGTTTCGTGTTCGTGCGTGCCGTGCGTGCGTGCGAGGCGAAGCTGCGTGGGCGGGCGAGAAACACGTGGCACGTGTGCCATAGCCCTTGCACAAAAAGGAAGGGGGAGGAGGAGGAGGAGGAGGAGGAGGAGGAGGAGGAGGAGGAGGAGGAGGAGGAGGAGGGGGAGGAGGAGGAGGAGGAGGAGGTGGAGGAGGAGGGAGGAAGAGGGGGCAAGGCATCGCCCTCTGGGCCCAGCAACGGGGCCCAAGTCCCAGGTGGGGAGGGTGGGGGAGGCGGCGTGCGTCGCGACGCGGAATAAAGTGCTCGGAGCGGAGGGAGCACGGGGCGGAGGTCCCACTGGGGCGCTGGGGGCGCGGAGAGGAGGGGTGGTGGTGTGTGCCGCGACGCGGAATAAACTGTCGGGGCGGAGGGGGCACTGGGCGGGGCTTGGGGCAGAGGGCCACGGGGCGGGGGTCCAACTGGGGCGCTGGGGAAAGGGGGGGAAGGGGGGGAGGTGGCGTGCGTCGCGACGCGGAATAAAATTGTCGGGGCGGAGGGGGCACGGGGCGGAGTCCCCACTGGGGCGCTGGGGACGCGGGGAGGGAGGTGGGGGAGGTGGTGTGCGGCGCGACGCGGGATGAAGCGTTAGTGGCGGAAGGGGCAGTGGGCGGGGCCCCCGCTGGGGCGCTGGGGACGCGGGGGGGCTCGGGGCAGAGAACCACGGCGCGGGGGTCCCACTCTGGCGCTGGGGACGCGGAGGGGGGGGGTGCGACGCGTAATACAGCGTTCGTGTCGGAGGGGGCAGTGGGCGGGGGCCCCGCTGGGGCGCTGGGGACGCGGTGGGGCTTGGGGCAGAGAGCCACGGCGCGGGGGTCCCACACTGGCGCTGGGGACGCGGGGGGGGGGGGGAGGTGCGACGCGGGATAAAGCGTTCGTGGCGGAGGGGGCAGTGGGCGGGGCCCCCGCTGGGGCGCTGGGGACGCGGTGGGCTCGGGGCAGAAAGCCACGGCGCGGGGCCTCACACTGGCGCTGGGGACGCGGGGGGGCGGGGGGGGCGACGCGGGATAAAGCGTTCGTGGCGGAGGGGGCAGTGGGCGGGGCCCCCGCTGGGGCGCTGGGGACGCGGGGGGGCTTGGGGCAGAGAGCCACGGCGCGGGGGCCCCACTCTGGCGCTGAGGACGCGGTTGTAGGGGGGGGGGGGGGGTGGGGGGGGGGGGGGGGGGGGGGGGGGGGGGAGGGGGGGGGGGGGGGGAGCGACGCGAAATAAAAATAAGTGCGCTGGGGGGCTGCTGGGAGAAGGGGAGGGGGGGGCGACGACGACGCAGAAATAAAGTGGTCGGGGCGAAGGGGGCGGCGCGCTGGGCTGCTGGGGAGAGGGGGATGGGGGGGGGGGCGACGACGACGCCGAAATAAAGTGGTCGGGGCGGAGAGGGCGGCGCGCTGGGCTGCTGGGGAAAAGGACAGGGGGGGGGCGACGACGACGCCGAAATAAAAGTGGTCGGGGCGGGGGCAGCGCGCTGGGCTGCTGAGGAGAGGGAGAGGGGGGGGGGGGGCGACGACGACGCCGAAATAAAGTCGTCGGGGCGGAGGGGGCGGTGCGCTGGGGTGCTGGGGAGCGACACATAGCGACACATGTCGACACAACGCCGAAATAGGGCGACGACGACGCCGAAATAAAGTGGTCGGGGCGGAGAGGGCGGTGCGCTGGGCTGCTGGGGAAAGCGACACATGTCGACACAACGCCGAAATAGGGCGACGACGACGCCGAAATAAAGTGGTCGGGGCGGAGAGGGCGGTGCGCTGGGCTGCTGGGGAAAAGGACCGGGGGGGGGCGACGACGACGCCGAAATAAAGTGGTCGGGGCGGAGGGGGCAGCGCGCTGGGCTGCTGAGGAGAGGGAGAGGGGGGGGGGCGACGACGACGCCGAAATAAAGTCGTCGGGGCGGAGGGGGCGGTGCGCTGGGGTGCTGGGGAGCGACACATAGCGACACATGTCGACACAACGCCGAAATAAAGTGGTCGGGGCGGAGGGGGCAGCGCGCTGGGCTGCTGAGGAGAGGGAGAGGGGGGGGGGGGCGACGACGACGCCGAAATAAAGTCGTCGGGGCGGAGGGGGCGGTGCGCTGGGGTGCTGGGGAGCGACACATAGCGACACATGTCGACACATATCGACATATAGAGACATATATCGACACACACACACATATCGACGCATAGCGACACACAGCGACACATAGCGACGCACACATGGAGACGCATAGCGACACACAGCGACACATATAGCGGCACATGAAGGGCACAAGGCACACAGCGACACATATAGCGACACATGAAGGGCACAAGGCAGCTGGGGGGGAGCGACGACGACGCCGAAATAAAGTGGTCGGAGCTCTAGACACCCTGTGCACGATAATAAATCTCCTGTAGCTGAGGCGCGGCCGGGCCAAAAACCTCCCTTCCGACAACCGGTGCCCCGCGGTGTCCCGCCGGTGTCCCGCTCGGGGGCCAGTGGCGCGCGGTGTCCCGCCGGTGTCCCGTCGGTGTCCCGAAGATGATGATGATGATGATGATGATGATGTGGATAATGTTGACGATGATGATGATGATGATGATCATGGTGATGGTGGTGATGATGATGGTGTCCCGATGATGATGATGCTGATGCTGATGATGTTGACGATGTTGATGATGATGATGATGATGGTGATGGTGGTGATGACGATGGTGCCCCGATGATGGTGATGTTGATGATGAGGATGATGTTGCTGATGATGGTGGTGCCCCAATGATGATGATGATGTTGATGATCCTGATGATGTTGGTGATGATCAGATGATTTGATGAAGATGGTGTCCCGATGATGACGATGAGGTTGATGATGATGCTGTTGATGATGATGGTGATGCTGATGATGATGGTGTCCCGATGAGGATGATGATGATACTGATGGTCATGACGATGATGGTGCCCCGATGATGATGACGATGTAGATGATGAGGATGCTGATGATGTGCTGATGATGATTTTGATGATGGTGGCCCAATGATGGTGATGATGCTGCTGATGTTGATGATGATGATGGTGTCCCGATGATGATGATGATGGTGCTGTTGATGATTGTGACGATGATGATGGTGTTCTGGTGATGATGATGATGTTGCTGATGTTGTTCATGATCATGATGAAGAGATGATGATGATGTTGTCCCGATGGTAATGATGCTGATGATGCTGATGGTGACGATGATGGTGTCCCGATGATGATCATGGTGATGATGATGTTGATGATGATGGTGATGAGGTGATGATGATGATGATGATGATAGTGTCCCGATGATGCTGATGATGATGATGCTTATGATGTTGTTGATGACGTTGATGACGATGATGTTGATGATGACGTTGATTGTGATATCGCTTGTGCTATCGATAGTGAGATCGATAGACCGAATGTGAGATCGATAGTGAGATCGATCGAGTGAGACGTTGGTTCCTCCCTCCCGAACCTCCTTGTCACCCGAAGGGTGGTCGTAATATATATATATATATATATAATATATATATATATATTATATATCGGAAGTTGGGGGGGTGAGTCCGACGTGAAACGGAGACCCCCCCCTGCCGGGAAATCGATTTCGGTTTCGGGTTCGTGTCGTGCGTGCCGTGCGTGCGTGCGGGCGAGGCAAAGCTGCGTAGGCGGGCAAGAAGAAATCCTCCTGTGGCTGGGCCGCGGCCGGACCAAATGTAACTCCTCTGGCGGCCGGTGCCCCGTGGTGTCCCGCCGGTGTCCCCACATCCTCCTGTGGCTGGGCCGCGGCCGGACCAACTGTAACTCCTCCGGCGGCAGGTGCCCCGCGGTGTCCCGCCGGTGTCCCGCGGGGGTCCCGAAATCCTCCTGTGGCTGAGCCGCGGCCGGACCAAATGTTTCTTCTCTGGCGGCCGGTGCCGCGCGGTGTCCCGCCGGTGTCCCGTTGGGTGAGATCGATAGTCGAAAGTGAAATCGATGTGGTGCCCCGAGGTGTCCCGTGGTGTCCCCACGAGTGAGATCGATAGTGAGATCGACAGGTGTCCCGTGGTGTCCCGTTGAGTGAGATCGATAGTGAGATCGATAGTGAGATCGATGAGGTGCCCGAGGTGTCCCGTGCTGTCCCAAAAAATGAGATCGATAGTGAGATCGACAGGTGTTCCGTAGTGTCCCGTGGTGTCCCGTTGAGTGAGATCGATAGTGAGATCGATAGTGAGATCGATGTGGTGTCCCGCCGGTGTCCCGTGGTGTCCCGTTGAGTGAGATTGATAGTGAGATCGATAGTGAGACCGATAGTGAGATCGAGAGGTGTTCCGCGATGCCCCGTGGTGGCCCGTGGTGTCCCGTTGAGTGAGATCGATAGTGAGATCGATAAATGCCCCGTGGTGTCCCGTGGTGTTCCGTTGAGTGAGATCGATTGAGTCAGATGTTGGTTTCCCCCCCTCTCTCTCTCTCTCTCCCCCCAACCTCCTTATCACCCGAAGGATGGTCGTATAGGTATATATGAATACACGGAACTATTCTGCAGGTATAGACTTGATTTGAATACCAAGGGAGGGGTGAAACACTGTGTGGTACATTAAAGGATGCCACGAACGAGCTGTTTCTTGCACTGCTCGCACACCCAACGAGCAGCTCCTCGGCCGGCCACGGTCAACCCTCGTCAGTCGAATTGCAGCCTAGAGTCCTACAGGGCGAATTCCTGGACACTCTTGGGGAGAAGGAGAGTCGACAAGTGTCGCACGTGGAAGGACGGAAGCACCCCTAACTGGTGCTGAAGGATGAGGCGGTGGACGGGCGGACGGCCGAAGTAGTAGACGCCGACGCGATAAGGCGGATGGGACTTGATGGCCTTGGGGCGGATGACGAAGCGACGATGGGCTGGATGGGAGATGGGGCGAGTCATTTCCCCTCTCCATTTATCCTCATCCTCCTCACTCATGCTCCCCCTCTCCACCCTTATCCCCATTCCCCTCTCTCTTCGCCTACCCCTCAATCTCCCCTTCACCCCCTCCCCTCAACCTACCCCTCGTTCCCTTTCTCTCCTCCTCTCCCTTCCTCCCTCCCTTCTGTCCCTCCCCCTCCTCTCTCCTCATCCTCCCTCGCCCCCTCCTCCTCCCTCACCCGTCGTCATCTCCCTCCCTCCCTCCCTCCCTCCTCCCTCCCCCTCCTTCCCCTGACCCCATCGTCGGCGTCGCCCCCCTCGTCCCCCGCCCTCAAATCCGAAAACAGCATTTTTCGAGCCGGATCGACATGTGATTGTCCCAAACCTGAGGCCAAGCGAACACGCCTGGTAGCGCAACGCCCCCTCAAGGCCCCGCCCACACTTCTGGACCCGCGACCTGCACCCCGTAAGGAGCCCACAAAGAACGTACGCGCCCAACCGTGTACACGAACGCGGCCCCCCAATCCGCGACACCGGCCGCCCGATACGAGCGTTCGCGCAATGCGTACTCTCGACACCAACGTGGATTCATGTACGTGTACGTCCTGCTTTCGCTCCCGACCTCCCCCCCGATCGGCCACACTCGCGCGCGCGCGCGCGGAGCTGGGCCGGGCCGGAAGGACTCTGGCCGCAAGCGGGCCGCGGGCGCCGCGGCCCCGCGGCGGCCAACCCGCGACGAGGCTCCCGGCGCTCCCGGGCCGCGGCCCTCACAGGCGGGCGCCGCAGCCGTCAGGCGGCCTCCGCGGGCCCCCCCGCGGCGGCGGCGGAGGCGAGGCGCTCCCAGGCCTCCGCGTGCGCCTCGGCCCGCGCGGCCGCCGCGGCCGGCCGCCGGCCGCCAGCCGGAAGAGTGTGCACGAGATTTCCCCCCCCCCCCCCCCCCGGGGGGTTGGGGTTGTCACGGGCGAAGAACGGTGTAAGATAAACTTTTTCGCTGTCGGGGGCGCCTGTGCCAGGGCGGCTGGACAATTTGTACCCTTACGGTGGCGCCGTAGAGGTATAAACTTTCCAGCCGCCAAGGGTCAGGCATCCCCGACTGCGGAAAAGTTTATCTCATACCGTTCTTCGCCCGGTGAGGGTTGCCAGACCTCAGCGACAAAGCTCACGATTCGCCTGGCACCTGAAAACCGCGGCCGCCGGGCCCCAAATGTGCCGGTGCTCCCTGGTTCTCCCGCCGGAGGGCTTCGACGAATGACGACTGCTCACCGCGGCCGCCAGGCTCAAAGTGTGCCTGTGATCCCTGGGTATCCTGCCTCGCGCTCTTGGGTGGGGATCGTTTGAATCATCACATTCAACCTGAAGAAAGGCGCCTGGAAAGCTCCGAAAAGGTCCCCCAGGACGTCGTCCGACTCTGTGTCGTGTATTTGGCGTCTGGAGGGGTCGCCAAGGGATGTTCAAGACCTTTCGGGGCCGCCCGAGCCCGCCTGGTCCGCCCATGCGAACCCCATGCCCCAATTTGACCCCCAGCCCAGTTTCCCCTCATAAAGCGAAATAACCATATACATGTATATGCACACACACACACACACCTATTTATACATACAAGCATACACATATATGTATACATATGTATATATATACTAGAGCCATCGCGCGCGCTTCGCCCGCGCTCAAATTCTAGCTAGGCTTCATGAGCTAAATCATGGAACATCATTTTTGTCGCTTCTTGCATCCAGGAACTCTCTTGGAGGCCCTGCGCAAGCCTCGGGACCGTATAGGAAGGGAACTGCGGAAACGCGGAAATCATTAATTTCCGTTAGGTCTTCAACGATTTGGGACCCTCAAAGGCTTCCTGATTTCTTTTCTGGGAGCTGGGGGCCTTACTTGTGGTCTGTAGTGCAAGAATAGACACTTGGGGAAACAACTAATTGTGGGATTTCCATTTTTCAGATTGCCGTGCCTGGGCTGTGGGTTTGAAGTTTTCTGGATAGAGGCCACGGTCCGTTGGGATGCCTTTTGGGATTATTGTGTAAATTCGAAGGAAATATATTTTCCAACTCATGGGATCATGGGATCTAGATTTCTACGGTGTTTTCAAGGGCAGCCAAAAGGACGCGAAGACGATCCAAGAGAATGCCAAGAGAGCGTCAGAGAGTTCAACAATATTCCCGAAACAGATTTGCATGTGACTCCGAAGTCTTGATGGGGCTCGAGGAAGAGGATAGGGAGGAGTCCCAACTTGAACAAAAAGGGAACCTCTGGAATTCCATCTTTTCTCAAATTCCTAGGTCTTGGAGCGTTGGAAGCAGGAAAACGTGAGAAAGCGAAACACGTCGCGACAAAAACAGCTGGAAATCAACGATCTTACCCTCTTCGGGCTCTCTCGGGACGGCCCTCGAAGCTCTCTTGGGCTGTTTGGGGGTCTCGTCGGGGCTTTTTTGGAACATCTCAGGGGTCTGGGGTGTGTTGGAGGCCTCTGGGGGGTCCCAGAGTCCTCTAGGAGGTCTCTGGAGGCCTCCTGCTCCCGCTCTTGGGCTAATCTTGGGCCTGCTCTGGGGTGGTCTGGAGCTGTCCTGGGCGCCTCTTCGGCAGTCTTGGGGCTGTCTTGGCCCTTCTTGGGGCCGTCTTGGGGGCCTCTTGGGCGGTCTTGGAAGCATGAAGTAGTGAGAAAGCCAAACACCCTTCACCAAAAACATGCAAATTAACGATTTTAGGTTCTCCGGGCGCTCTCGGGAGGCCCCTCGGAGCTCTCTTGAGGTCTCTTGGAATCCTCCTGGGAGCCTGGAGAGCCGCCCGACAGCTATCCTGGGTTGCTTGGGAGCGTCTTGGGCCTTTCTTTTACGTTCTGGGGGCTTCTTGGGATCGTCTTGGGCTGTCTTCGGGCATATTGGGGGCTCCCCGGGAGGCCAGGAAGCGCGGTATCGGGAGCGTAACCCAAATGTGATCGAGGTGGAGGACGCCCCAGGAGGGGGCCCGGTCCATTTGTTTATTTCTATATATATGTGTGTATATATATATATATATGTTTATACACATACATATATTTATATAAATATATAAGCATGAATATACATCTGAGAACGGTAACACATTTTGCCAAACACCATCCGAAGTACAGTACGCGCGCGGTGTTTGACTCGCGAGTCCAAGAACGAAACTGGTTTCAACAACCAAGCAGCATGCCACGTATATCATACATGCCAGCTCGTGGGCTATAGCCTGTACACCCTTCCATTCCTTCCACCCTCCCCCGCCCCCCCATCTCCACCCCTCCTTCCCTCCTCCTCCTCCTCCTCCTCCTCCTCCTCGCCCCTCCCTCTCTCCCTCCCCCTGCCCTCCCTCCCTCCCGTCCCACGGCTTCCTCCTGCTCCTCCTCTTCCTCCTCCTCCTCCCCATCATCCCCCTCCGTAACCATTTTGGATCATGTCCGTCGAATTTCGCTCAGAACTTGAGGTTGTGGCAAGGGGAGATTGCGGCCCCATCGCTTACCCTTGCATCATCAGTTCAGCTTTACACTCGATGCCGAATCGCCCTTCTCTTCGGTTTGCGCACCCCTTACTCGCGGATGGTTTCTCAAGGTGCTCACCCGTGGCGTCAGAAACGGCCACGCCGCAGGGGAGGCACGTACACCTATCAGTGGCTCGCGCCGCCGTCTCAGCGTCCTCCTCCCGCCGCGGAACAGGGCTGGTTCACGGCGGCACGGCGCAAGCAGTTCATCGCGTGCATCGCTTCAAGCTGCCAGGAGAACACCGAGGGACCCCTCTGTTGCAAGCATTGCGGCTCGGCGCTCAAGAACGGCTAGGAGAAACCCAAAGCAGGACACGGCCGTGGACATGGACCCCTTCGCCGACGGCAAGGGCAAAGGCAAGGGCAAAAGTCGAGGGAGCTGCCGCCACGCCCCCCTCTGGAGCCTGGCCCGCTCCCCGCGACCTCGGCGACGAAGGCCGGGGACACCGCGGGCGCCCACCGCTGCCGCCAGCTTGCGGCGCGGGCGCCCCCGCCACCTGCGGAGCCCTCCCTGCGCGACAGATAGCAGCAGGCCGAGGAGCGCCAGACCGAGCTGGAAAGCAAGCTGCTGGCGCTGTGCACCAAGCTCGAGCGCTGGCAAAAGAGCATGGCCGTTCTCGTCCCGAACATCGCGTCCATCTCCAAGGAGCTCAAGGATGCCGACCTGGCGGTCACAGACGCCCTCGCGGCCATCCAGGCCCAGTCCCAGACGGGAGGCCAGGCCAAGGCTGCAGCAGCCTCGCCTGGCATCAGCCTACGTGCCCTCGTCGAGGGCACGGTGGACCTGGCCGACATGATCACCGTCGACGACGTCATGGGCACCGCCGCCATCGATGCACAATAAGACCTTGAGGAAGCTGACAAGGCAGCGGAAGGACACCAGCCCTAAGGAGATCCAGTACGCCCTCGCTGCGGTCTCCCTGGGCGTGGTGGACAAGGCCAAAAGCGCCACATGGCCAGGCTCGAAGGCAAGCAGCGGAAAGTCGGTGACGAATCCGCCACCTCCAACGCCGTGCCAAGAAGCACCGCCGCTGCGGGCCAGGGATCCGCGAGCTCGGCCCACGGCGCCCCCGCCGCCGGCGCGGCCGCGACTGCTGCTGCGGCGGCTCCTGCAGATGCTCCTGCTCATCGCAACATCCGCGACAAGCCCACAGACGACCTCGAGACTGCCAGCGCCCGAGGCCGGCTTTGACGCCGACCTCCGCGTCACGAGCGGCGAGCCCCAGCAGCTCGCCGACGCGGTCCGACGACGCCGCCCTCCTCTACGCGAACATCGCGGAATGGGGGCCCCCAAGCAGAATGCTGGGTGGCCACAGAGGGCAAGAGGTGCCAGCTCCTTGCCTTCGTCGGGACACACATCGGCTCCGCCAGCGCTTCAGACACCTTTAGAGGGAAGAGAACTATGCACATGCACCGATTCTGGCCAGGCCCATCCTGAGCCCAGGATCGGTGCATACGCCCTCCTACCTTGGCCAGGAAGGCATATGCACCGATCCTGGGTCAAGGATGGGCCTTGCCAGGATCAGTGCATGTGCATAGTTCTCTTTCTCCCAACCTTGATGAGTGTTGGCAGGGGCGACAGGGCGCCCTTCAAGTGCGACGCAGACCCGACGCACTGGTCGGCCAGCGGCACCTCGGGGGGCGAGGTGATCTATCCTAGCCCGCAAGCGCGTCGCCTGCTGAACGTTCGACGGCCCGCGCAGCTACGCCAAGAGCGTGCGCGAGGCCGGCCCCTGCTGCGGCTTCGCCCCGATGAACTGGCACCGCAAGACAGGCGATATCGTGGCCATCGCCTTCTCCGTCGAGTCGCGCGACTCCATCGCGGGGTCCGTCCTGGAGCGTTTCGCCGCGCTCGCTGCTTTCCTCGACATGCTGGCCAACCCATGGCTGGTCATCGGCGACTGGGACATGCCGCCCACCGCGCTCGCCGCGTCGGGCTACCCCGAAGAGTGAAAACAAACCACTATCATGGTCCCCGACGTTACGGCCACCTGCGAAAAGGGCAGAGGCTCCCTCGTCGACTACGCGGTCGTCAAGCACGGCTACGAGGGCGCCATCACCCTACAACCTGTGCGCGACGAACCTTGGTGCATGCGCATCGGCGTCGAGGTCCGCGCAGGCGCAGCTGACGCATTGCGGCATCAGGTCATGAACTTGTCGACCCCATGACATGCCCGCCGCGGCCCAAGAACACGGCTGACCCGAACGACGAGGCCAGCCGTCGCCGGGCCATCCGACTACACCAGCGACGCGAAGATCTTGACGCTGAGCTTCGCGAAGCCTTCGATGACATCCACATGGAGATGCCCGAGCATGTCTACCTGGTGACCTCGTCTGCTACCGCGTCCCTCTGG